TGTGTCCGCCTTGTCTCCCTTCTGTTTCCTTTTGTCTCCCTTCTTGTTTCCCTTTTTGTTGGTCATTGTGTCCGCCTTGTCTTTGTCTGCCTTCTTGTCTCCCTTCACTGTGTCCGCATGTCTCCCTTCTGTCCCCCTTGTTGTTGGTTGCTGTGTCCGTCTTGTCTCCCTTCTGTTTCCTTTTGTTTCCCTTCTTGTTGGTCATTGTGTCCGCCTTGTCTCCGCTTTGTCGCCCTTCTGTCTCCCTTTGTCTCCGGTCTTGTCTCCCTTGTCTCCCTTCTGTTTCCTTTTGTCTCCCTTCTTGTCTCCCTTGTTGTCCTCCTTCTTGTTGGTCATTGTGTCCGCCTTGTCTTCTTTCTTTCCTTTACATGTGCCTCCTCTCTCCCCCTCTCGCTTGCAACCCTTCACATTTGTCTCCCAACTGCTCTGCCCTGCAATCCTTTACATTTGTCTCCCAGCTCTGGGCTGCTGTGTCCGCCTCTGCCTTGCAATCCTTTACATTTGTCTCCCAGCTCTGGGCTGCTGTGTCCGCCTCTGCCTTGCAATCCTGTACATTTGTCTCCCAGCGCTGGGCTGCTGTGTCCGCCTCTGCCTTGCAATCCTTTACATGTGCTCTAGACTGCTGTATCCGCCTCTGCCTTGCAATCCTTTATTTGTCACCCAGCTCTGGGCTGCATGTCGCTTGCAATCCTTTGCGTTTTTCTCCCTGCTGTGGCCGCCTCTGCCTTGCAATCCTTTGTCTCCCAGCTCTGGACGTCGCAAGCTCTAGTTGCAGAGTGTTCGTTCCGATTTTCAAAAACACAAACTGTTTGGGGTCTACGGTGATGTATTTCTTTTTTTGGGACCCTAATTTTTTAAATATTGGACACCTAATAAGGGATTGAATTCCTTCTGAACCCTGTCCACCTGCACTCCCCCCTCCCTTCCCAGGCAAGCAGCCAGCAGCAAAGCCTTCTAGGTGTTCTTCAAAACTGACAGCTTTCCAAACCCACCACTTCCTAATGCAATCCTTGATGTGAACATTGCTCCTAAACAATTTTTTTAAGGTAGTAGACCAGGAAGGCACCTGATCATCAATAATAGATTTGTTTTAGGGGTTCTCAATTGTGCAAATAGATCTGCTCAAGGAATCTTCCTTTACTTAGCTCCTGAGGCCAATGATTATGATTCATTAGCTGGTACAGGTTTCTCTAGGTGAAGATCTGAGGCTGCAAAGCAAAAGGATTGCTGAGAACAATTACAAAGCACCTGAGAAAGGAAACTGAATACAATCTATGAAAGGAACATGAATACAACATTGAATTGCAAAAGGAAATCTACCAGGAATCTAGATTTGTTTTGGTACTAGTTTATTATAGACGACCACCCATTCGTTTAGCTAGGGGGGGACCCCCCTTTACTAATCACGATCCAACATTAAAAGAAAGAAGGGGTCCTTCAAAGGGGACCATATAAAAGGGACCCATGTCCACCGTTGTTTTTTCTCTTCTAGGACTTTTAGGTAAACGAGTGGCGATTTCACCGAGCTTCCACTAGATTAGTCCGTCCCGACTGTCGAATTCGCGTCGAGGTGATGCTGTGCCTATGGTGGACGCTGGCTGTGCAGCCTGTGAGCTGGTTCGCGCCAGCTGCCGTGCAGCCTTTGTGAGGAAGAAGAGGGCAATGACGGCACCGGATGTTTTGGCTACTTGGAGTCCTTTCGATCGAACCTATTGTTGTTCGTGCCAAGATTTCCGAGACTTTCAGAAGGCGTTTGGCTCCAAAACAGATTTAGAGCTATGAACGCAGTCAAACAAGCGCATCCGGCGCATCTGAAACCAGATGCCAAGAATTATAAAGGACATTACAGTAAAGGACCAACATGAGAAGAGGGAGACCATAGATACAGACCAGAGGAAAAGAACGACAAAGTGGATGTGAGTATGCCAGCTCGTCGCAACATACAAGCTGATCTACCATAACAAAATTACAGCAAACAAGATGTCGAGATGGAGAAGCTCACATCAAAGCGAATTTGGGGTCCAAAAGGATCAGCCACATCAAGCACTTTGTAGCGTGCATGAAATAGCCAGCCACAACACCCCACAAGCTTGTAAAAGAACTAGCACACCAAAGACAAGCAGCTCAAGCCTGCGACAGACGAGAATACACAAGCCCTGATCAAGCAGATGCAGGAGCTCAGCCTACGGATGAACGCAGAACTCGAACACATGAAGGCAGCAGGAACAACTTCCCATGAACAACTCACACGACACGACCGCTGGAGGCAGTGACAGAGCAGATCGACGGCCTCCGATGCATGTCAGATTGCACCCATGGCCCATGAACTTGTATTGGACAGTGAGACCAAAGCCAGCAAACACAAGATGGTAATCAAGGCATGCTCCGAGGAGGCTACATACCACAATAGGGTCAGGATCAGAGACTGGCTTCTGGCAAATGTGAGTATATCACGCAACGGAGCAAGAGCATGGGCACTACACAGTAGGAAGAGGATTTCAGCTCTCGCCGGTGACGATCTTGATCTTCCAAGATGCGAACTCCCATCACTACTTTGAGAAGTTTACGTTGCGTGCAAAACCTTTTCCGCTAAAAACGCGCTCTACTACTGGGATGAGCCAGGAAACTACGCACAACACTGGAAAGGAGGATGGCACAGGCTGATTATTACAAGCTAGCAAGGAAAAACTTACTTGACCATCAACCTCGCATTGACCACAGCACTTCACATCCTGACCAGCCATGCCACAACTGATATGCCGGAACAACAAAACTCACTCAGACAAGATGATCTATGATGTGGAGGCCAAGTGGCCAGCCGTCAAAGCAACCGACAAAGACGGGGCTATTGGCAATCATGGTTCGAAAGTGACTGGTAGACATCCGCGACAAGTGGCATGCAGCATGGTGCACAAAGGCCATCCACATTACTCAGACTATGCCAATTACTGTATCCCTATGCCTATGCGGTGACTTTCGCAGCTGGCCGTGAATATGAGGGCGGCGCAGAAAAGCATGAGAAACACTGCACTACACCGTAGGCACTCGCACGAGGCAACAACTAAGGCGACAAGACTGGCTCCATAGCAGAATGCTAGCTGCTAGGAGTCAAGAGTAATTAACAAACAACAAACCTCTTGATGGGCACCAGCAATCCAAAAGAAAAGGCTTCTCCCTCCCTTGCAGACCAGGTACCCTGGGACAGTGCCCAAAGGGCTGACAAACATCTCCCAAAGCGTCCGGAAACAGGTAAAGGATATGGACACGCCCTTCTATTACAATGCATCATTTAGTAGCGATGCCCTTTGTTCCTAGTAGCTTCTTGTTCCTAGTAGTATTGCCAGGAGCCACTAGTGGCGTCCTTGCTCCTAGTACTAGTAGCGATGCCCTTTGTTCCTAGTAGCATTTAGATGCACTTCAGGAAAAAAAGGCTTCTTGACGACCCTGTTGGAGATTCTGCAAGAGGACAAGGCTTCAGGAGCAAGCCGCGCAGGTGGCGTGTGGCACGAAGAGAGGCATCCTTTCCAACACAGTTAGGATACTACGAAATACTACGCATAGTAGGACCTTGCGCTTACCGACACGGTTTTGATTTGATCGTCTTGCGTTGCCATGAAATCCTGCGTCAAAGTTGCGATACGCCCATTTTTCGTCAACATGTTGGGAAACATTGTCAGACTACTTTCACACCAGCGACTCAAGGAGCTGCAACGCTGAACGTTCGTGGGCTGAATCAATCTGCTAAGAGAGAAGAGTTAGTCAAAATCGAAGATGTAAACATCAGAGATGCAGTTTTGAACAAGATGCATTATTGGATGCATGACATCATGACGGAATCAATTCGTTCAACATGGCACCTTCTTGGAAGGCATCAAACGTCAGAAATTCCATGCCTTCCAAGTGAGATGTTTAAGGAGAATCCTCAAGCTAGCGCCTACTTTTGTCGATAGGTTTGCTACTACCAAACTCAAACTAGTTCTGCAGAAGGCATCGGAACTAACTTGCCTTTCCACAAGACACGGCAACCGTTCTTTGCAGTGGTTCCGTCTGATGATGGACAATACCAGGAGGGCCAGATTGCTTGGACATATCATTCGTGCTTCTTCTTTAGACCGTAGACCTATTAATAAAGGCAAATCTCATTGGAACCCTTTGCCGCTTCAAGAGTTGGATATGGTGTTAAAAGATGTGGTCGGCCCAGAAAAACTGGCTGGCGGCATTCCACAGAGGAATACATTCACGAACATGTCTTCGGACTTCTAAATTATCATGAGGACCAGCGTGTCTACTTCCATGCAGCCATGAACAGAGACATTAAAGTTTTGCCACGCCAACGCCCAGCAATACTCGACCGACGGGACGTTGCATGGTAGGGCAGCAAAAACACAATGTGTTTCCAAGGATGAGATTGGAGATGTTTTTGAAGATCTTTGCCCTTCTTGGCAGAAGACTGGAGGAGACTTTGCCAAGGACAATCTTGACTGTTTTTGGTTTGCATTGTTGGTTCTCAACCTTCAGCACTTGCTTGCGCAAGAACAAGCATTTGGATGATGTTTGGCTGCTTTTGCCAATGACTCGACTCTGCGTTCCCCCATGTTGCCATGTAACCAACTGAGGTTGAGGTATTGACGGAGTGCATCCAGCGGCAGGTCTCCAAGAACGGCATTGCCAAGTGACGCGGTATTGGTTCCTTGGTTCTACTGGGTCCCCAAGTTCATTGCGATGTTGTGAGCAGTTTGGGGTGCGGTCACGTGACTAGACTGTAAAAAGCGATGGACAAGTCCTGACGTGCTTGTACAAAGTTGCAAAGCCAAGAAGCATGCGGCATTAAGTTTCCTGCGCTTGTTATGGTCGTCCTTGAAAAAGTGCCCCGCCAAAAGGGCGGGCGGAAAAAGGGCGGGCGGAATGAGTTGGTTTCCAGAAACATCCCTCAAAATCGAGTCTTTTGAAGTGAAGCGGCGTTGTCGTCTCCAGTATTTGTGCAGGGTCTTGGCCAGCTAGCTTTGGATCAGGCCCACCTCACACCTCAGCCTGCCACTCACAAGCGTAGCTGCAGCACTAGCATAGTTTTATGAGGACTCCCTCAAAGGTCCCTGAGCTAAATTCTGTTTCGTCTCAAGACGTCAGAGGCGCTGCATGGCAATCGGAAGGTGCCATGGACGAACGGTCGACCTGCGGCATTTGCCAGACGCCGCTCAACCCCCAGAGATGGGCGCAGGCTCTGTGGGGTCGCCCGGCCGCCGGGCGTAATTTTGGACTTTCTGCCTTGTGAGATTCGAAGCATGAGCGCCAAACGGACTTCCTCTTCCAGAGTGTGCCGTACATCTATAATGGCATACATATACATATACACAGTATACACGCACGTACCTAGAGTACAGAGGCAACTGGTTTCTTGCTTGACTCGGCCATTGCTTTTGGAGTGCAGGCAATTGTGCCAGATTGCCAGCATGGCTACCACCTGTGGCTTGTCTTCCTATGGCTAGGCTTGATGGACTTTCTGGGAGTCCAATTGCCAGAGGAAGTACGCACTGAAACCATGATGCCAAGGAATTGCATGCTACAAGCGGCACAGGGAGATGACAAGTTTGAGTGTGCAACATGCGAGGAGCCTCTCAGCCGTTTGTTTCGGTTGAGTTGTCATTGTTTGATATAGTATCCCGTATCCCTTTTGGCTTCTTGTGTATATAATTGTATATATATATATATCTCAATATGTATGTATATCTATCTATATCTATATATATATATGTATATCATAGAGCTGTTGCCGGTCAAGCATTTTGGACACAAACATAGCACAGCAACCCAGTGAGAGATGGTGCGAGCTGGTTCGAGACAGGTGGAGACCATCGCTAGTAGGTTGGAGGCCATTGCTATGATGATTGGACACAATATGCCCACTCCTCACGAAGCCGATGTGCCGCCGGGATTGGGGGCGTCCCGAGGTTCAGATCCTCCCCGAGGGAAGGCCTCCGGCTCCTCCTCGAAGAATGCAGTGAAGAGTTACACAAACGAGATCCTACGGATATAGAGCTGCTTGGCCCGTTGAGCTGCTTTAGCCATTGACAGCCATTCCAGAAACTGTTGGCAAGGTTCAAATGAGGCGATTCGTGTGGTGTGATCGGTTCCAGGGGGAGCGGATAAAACACACAAATAGGGATCAACTAAAAACACATAGGGGTCAAGAAAGACACGCGGGCATCAAAAAACAATACTTAGGAGAGACAAAAAAGAAAGACAGACAGACAGAAAGAAATAAAGAAATAAGTTAAAAAGAAAAGAACGACAGAAAGCAAGAAAGCAAGACCGATGCGATAGGCTCACATTTTACGTTCTCGTGGTGGGAAAAGGCATTGAAGGACAGCACGGCTTGCACGTGACACGCATTAATGCCAAAATTTAGGTGAGAGCCAGTAGCCATTCCAATGTCGCGGGCCTTGTGTGAGCCACCTGAGGACAAAATTTAGAGGAGGAAGGAAGGCGTCATTCCAAGGTAGGAGTAGGAGACCTTTTGTGAGCTACAGCTACTGCTGCTGGTGCTGCTGCTGCTACTAAGTAGTAGCAGTAGTAGTAGTAGTAGTAGTAGTAGTAGTAGTAACAGTTGCCGTAGTTGTAGTAGTAGCAGTGGTAGTGGTGGTGTAGCAGTAGCAGTAGCAGTAGCAGTAGCAGTAGCAGTAGCAGTAGCAGCAGCAGCAGCAGCAGTAGCAGCAGCAGCAGGAGGAGGAGGCGGCGGCGGCGTCGTCGTCGTCGTTCCATTTTTAGATGCTTGCTGGTTTTTATTTTGATCATCATTTGCTTTTTGGTTTTATTGCAATATCGCCAGTTTCTGTATTTGTTGTTGATAAGTTGATCCCTGTTTTTTTAAATTTCTTGGGTGAACTTTGTTCTTGATCATTGTTTGCATTCTTTGGTTCTTGGACACCCACCCAGGAGGAGGGTGGAAGACGGCAAGTGCAAACAAACTATAGACTGAAGCGGTGGATGTCGCCGAGGTTTTCCCGGGCAGAGGAGATCAAACGTGGTCGGGAGATGATACCAATGCACCAGATTCCTAGCTGTGTACTGTCCATTCAAGGCGTGGCCAGTGGTCATAGCATGACTCAAAGATCGTTCATTGCCTGACTTATGTGGGGGCTATGCTTCAGGCTTGCGATGCCTCGATTTTACGGGACACCCGCTGGAGCGACTGCCGCCGGAGATCCAGAATCTGAAGTCTCTCACCAGGCGGAGCCCCTCAAAACCCTCAAACCACGCGTTGTTTGTCGCCATTGCTTGTTTTTCTTTTTTTTTTTTGTCAGGTTGGTCTTGTGTTCGACGAACCTTCGGGAGCTGCCTGTGGAGCTTTGCGAGCTCCGAAATTTGCAACAGACTCTTGGATAATGATGATAATTTATAATGATGCAGGTTTAAAGGCGCCAGCAATTCAATTGAGGCTTTTCATCAACCCTGGCCGGCACACACTTGTTTAGTTTCCAGATGTGACATGTCTGGGATTCTCCATGCCACAAAGCTGCTGGTCGATTTGGTTATGTCTTTGTTCTTCAAGGTTGGTGGTGGCCTGCTGTCCGATCCGGCGGCTCCCAGAGCAGCTGTGCACTTCTGCAAACAATGAGCAGTGAATCAATGCAAGTTGGAATCCTTAGCGATCAGAGAGGCAAATGCAGACGCGTTCCGTTGCAGAAACTGGCATGTTAGGGGAGCGGTTGTTGGATGGATGGATGAGTTTGGGAATCTTAGGCAATTTGGTCCGCCTTTGGGACTTCTATTTTGACGGCAATCAGCTGGTGGAGATGCCCGCAAGTTTTCCTCCACTCCTCAATGGAATCAAAGACTGGAACTCAGTCATTCCTGTGTAGTGTACATCGAGCTTTTGTGCTTTGTTCCCTCTTTTCGGGCTTGGTCAAAAGTACTGTCCTCGTCCTTGGTACTGCCACCAGTCGTTGCGTCGTTTACCGTTGCACAAGGTCTCTGGCAACTTGCTGAAAGAGCTGCCGGACGGTGTAGGTGGCATGGGACCATTGGCAGAAACATAATTTGGAATAATGTGCTGTACCGAGCTGCTCTGAGTTTTCTCAAATTGAAAAACATGGGCATCGGCATTGGGTATGTCCGCCTCCCTGACCATTCTAGATTCTAGATAGTTCGGGTGTTCTGACAGGCAGATGTCATGACGTGAAGGCCGTTCGCGCTTATGCCAATCAGCTACGGTCCCTGCCAGACACTTGGCCTTTAGGTGGGCATCTAGATTCTAGATCAAAAAAGTAAGAATAGGGTTATATGATTATACAATAATCAAAAGACATAGACAGCAACAACAAAAAGATAATGACAGGATATGCTATAACAGGATCACACAAATAATTTAGTAGGTCCCCTAGTCGATTGGTCTCGGTCCTTTTGTCTCCTAGTCCTTTGGTCCCCTGGTCCTTTTGTCCCCTGCTCCTCTGGTCCTCTGGTCCGCTGGCCTCGTGGTCCATTGGTGACAAAGCGTGAGGCTTGCAAATTTGGCGCCTCGGACAAAACTCCAGAGGCGTGCTGCGGCCTCGGTTGAGGTTTCAGTGCGTTGCTTCCTACAATTGGGAGGCACGCACCAGACTGCCACGAGCGAAAGTGCTTGTGTCACTTTCTGGGTGTCCTTCCTTCATTGACGGGGCAGTGGGGTGTGTAGTTTTTGATGACGATCTATTTTGTGGTGCCTTCTGAGTCTTGTTGGCTTTTCAGTTTTTGGTTCGATCTGGGGGGAGGAGGCCCTGCGACTGCGCCCTCCCCCTCCGCCCACCCCGCCCCAGCGCCACGACATCTGCACTACTTTTGCCAATGCCCTGCGCCTGCCACGACAGATATTTTCAAGGTGACCCATCGCATCTCCACACCACCCCTCGCCTAACGCTTTTTGCAAACATTCTTTCATTGTTCTCTGCTGGATGATAGGGAGGGCCTGCCTTGGCTGTGTCCAACATTTCGATTCTCTTTCCCTAGTCTTTTTTTCTCCTTCCATTGCTCACTGTTTTTCCTGCCCCTTTCAACTTTTCTTCGTGATGCCCCGCGAGATGTCCGTGGCTGTGTGCGCTTTGTGTCGCTGCCTGGTGCCGCTGCAGGGTGTTGCTGCCTTGGCAGTAGAGCCTGGGTGCTGGTGCCGCTGCAGGGAGCTGCTGCTGCGATTTTTTTTTGCAATCTAGGGTCCATGCTGGTGTAATTTTAATCCGTCATTTTTAGGCGCCTCCATTGTGGAATGGATGTGAAGGGATATGGAATCTGGAATGGTGTGGAGATACTTGCAGGAAAGAATGTGCTAATGAACCAAGGACAGCATTTGTGAGCTTGCTCAAGCCACGGAAATGTCACTGCAGGGCAATCGTTTAGAGTTGCTGCCCTCATCACTGGGTTCATTGCAGTGCCTGGGCTGCATGAGAATGGGGTTTGTGCATGGGCTGGTTGATTGGTTGACTGCACCCATTCTAATGATCCCAGCGCAGGCAGCTTCAATACCTTTCGTTGCACGACAACAACCTACGAGCGCTGCCAGCTTCCATGGTGCACCTGCCGCTGGGCTCATGACGTTGGCTCACACTGTCTGGATCGCTGCAAGAAGCTTCTGTAATTTGGCGTAGTATAGGTTTCGTTTTGTGTTTCACTTGACAGATGCCGACTCTGAGGGAAGAGCTCCGATGGCTTTACCTCTACAACAATCAACTCCAAGATTTGCCAAAAGGAGTAGGAAGGCTGCGACGGCTTGTTCTGGTGTCATTTCGTGTAGCAGTCTAAGATTGTGCATCTCAATAGCATGCACATCAGATCTGTGTAAGACCGGTGACCTTAAGGCCTTAAGGCGCTCTTACTCTAAAGTGGGGCGGGCACGTTCTGCGGTCCTCCCTGTGGATTCATGACATATAATGAAGGCTGAAGAACTTGGAGCGTTTGCTGGTGGAGGCGAATCCTTTCTCCAAGGCGCGACCAATCTGTGACCAAGATTGAAACCTTGATGTCTAACACTATTCTGAAAGAACACATTTCTACATATAGTTGGCAGCTTCAAACCTTGTTTTTTTCTGTGAGGCCACTCTGGAAGACTTGGCGGCTTCGCAGGGTCCACAGCTGCGACTCTTGGGTTTGGATGCTGTGCAGGCGGCAACTCATCCAGCCCCACCCTGGGTGTGGGCGCCCAGCTGCGGTGAATTCTCATCAGGCCATTGCATTTTCAACATATTTACGAGGCTAGAGCGCCCGCTAGATGAAGGTTAGTTGCGCCAGTTGGATAGCAAGCTCGAGCTGAAATTCAGGGGATAGTCCTGCAACAAAATACACTGACTACCATGTTTCTTGACCATGCGCTTACCCATATCCATTTCGAGGCTCACATACCATTTCGGCATCCCTGTGCCAGCATCCCCTACCAACACCATTAATTACAGCCGATTCAACATCTGCAATTTCTACATTTGGTGTTTCTCAGATTGTCAGGCCTCCGTTGGATGGATGCTTCCATGGGGAAAGCGGCTTGGTGTCACCGGGGCGGGCAGATGATTTGACTGGCTGACATTTAAGATTGGTGCATTCGGCGTGCTGTTTGATTTTCTTATTTTTCTGTATGCGCTGTTTGGTTCTGTTGTTCTGGACCTAACTCTTTGGAAGCAGCATGAGCTGCGTTGGGCACAATGGATGAGATTCCAGGCTCTATGCGAAGCTCCAGCCTGCTTCACAGCTGAAACGGCCAGAAGGCTTGCAGTTAGCAGTCGAATTGTAGATTTGCAAAGTGCTTCTAAAGTTAGGCAGCCGCTAGTGGGTAGGATGCGGTTGAATTGCTCGTGGTAGAGTTGCTGAGAATTATATATATATATATAGACCGTGACTCGTAGACATCCGAGCAGATTGCCTGCAAGGCGTCAATCCAGTGAAAGGTGCCCGCCCACAACAGCATCACGATGTGTTGGTGGTTGCCTTCGCAGCCAGTCAGGGTGAGCCTGAGTGGCTTGGGGCGCCGGAGCCGAACTCTAGTTTTCATTTCCATTGGAGACTTGTCGGATGAAGGATGTGAAGGATGAATGTCATCAGTTCTCATTGTGATATGTTTGAGAGGTGCTCAAGCAGAAAGCTCAGGTGCTTAGTCAAGTGCATGCAGGGCAGGTGTCAGTGGCAGAAGCCGAAGCTCAAATATCACTGGAGAACTTGGGAACCTTCTCTGAGCTTCACAGATGCCTAGCTGAAACATAAGGGGATGATGTCGGATGTTGATATGCTTGCACCTCTCTGCAGGAAGATCTCCACCCACGTGCCCCTACATGAGTTGAAGTGGTCAAGAGTTGTGGGACGGCCAAACGTGTATGAACGAACCGACATTGCTGGCATTTCCGAGTCTCAATGAGGAAGGCTGCACGGAACAACGGTGGGCGATGGTGAGGATGAAGTGGAACAGTTGGCCTCAACTGCTTGGCTGCTAGCTCCACCTCATCATTCTGGGCGCGGTTTGGAGAATTGAAATGCTGATGTGTTCCACCTGCCACAAGCGAGTAGTTCATGAAAAATTGGAAATGGTGGCAGTCGTAGTCGTAGCAAAGACGAGAAGACAACCATGGCAGTTGCCAATTAGGCTGCTAGGGACTGGTTGACCCTTGAGGCGCAATGGAGAGGTCCTCGAGGACTTCGACGTGCTATCTCTGTGTGATACTGCTGCCCAATGGTATGCCGACACAGCAGAGAGGGAGCAACTTCATGTAGAGAGCAAGCTCAAGGAGCTTCTTGGTCGCTTATTTAACATATCATATAACTCTAATTAGTCGAGGCCTTAGGTTGTCATTTGTAGTTTCAGGCAGATGGTGAGACTGAGGATTGCGCAGGAATACCGGAGAGTCATTCTGTTGGGCGTGCGCTTTGGCAGCAGAGAACAAATTCATCGCGATAAATCAAGAGTTCCCGGTAAGGCTGTGCACAGCTGAGGTCAATGGGTGGTTTCGGAGCCTTGTCCAACTCTCACCTGGCAAACTCTGTCCTGGTCTTTGGCCCCCAAACCGACTCTTTGACAGAATAGCCAAAGAGATCAAAGAGGTCAGCGATGTCAAACCCAAACCTTATCACTGGGAGTTGAACATGTTGAACTTTGTTAGGACCTGACAATCAGCCACCTTCGGCCTGGCTTTGACCCTGGAGAGTTATCGAGGACAGCTGCCAGCTGCTTTGCCACTTCAACATTCTTGTGAGTGTCTGGTCAAGAAGAATCTTGAAAAGAGGGCAGCCCCACTCTCAAATTCCTAGGATGAGCGAGAATATGCGCCACCGCGTGCGTGAAGCGGTCTCCTCTGGAGTCCACTTCGAATACCATGTGGCCATTGAAGAGCATCTCGCGTATGCCCGAAGGCCGTTTCAATGGTTTTTCTCAGTCATGCCCGTGCTTAGAATGAAATAGCACTAAGTGAAACTCAGCAGCATGAGCCTTTGTACTGAAAACCCTTACTGTGTTGTATAACCAGCTCCACAAAGGCCTCGTGCGTCAGGCTCCCACTGCCTCGAAGCTGTATCTTCATACATCCCATCGAAGGCCAGGAACGGATGTTTCTTGTGAGTCCAGGATCAGAATTTGACGGCAATGCCGCTTTTGTCATGCATGAGCAGATGTCTGCTTGAAGCACACCTTAATTCCCACTGCGCAGTTTGTGAAGCAAAAGCAGACTCTGGGTGGAATAGTTGAGTTTGTGATTCTTGCCATGGCCACGGTCTTGATTCTTGCAAGCATATTCGGTTTGTCACTGGCTTCCAATCGAAGCCTAAGCTCCGCGGCATACCCAGTGGAGGTGCGAGGCAACTTGCTCTACGATGCTGGGGGGAACCGTTTTTTTGCCAAAGGTGTGGCCTACAATCCTCGCAACGGCAACTACGGACAGGTCTTGGGAAAAAAGAACCCACAATGTATCCCAGGCACACCGAAGTTTGCACCCCTCCAATACTATCAAGATCCTGCCTCAGATGACATGGAGGACCAGTTCAAGACTTACTTGCCTTTGATTGCTGAGCTGGGGTCCAACGTGGTACGCCTTTACAACATCGACCCGGAGAAGTCCCATGACAAGCAAGTCCTCAGTGCTACTATGAAGATCTGCCAGACTATGGGCACGTGGGATTGAACCTGCTCACCTCGGCCAAGCTCATTGTGGATCAATTCAGCAAGTATGTCTCTTGGTCTCAAGAGAATGAAACCCTTTCAGCTTCCTTGGGAATCGTTGCACCCGTAGTAACAAGAAGCTTTCTAGTATGTTTTGAAACTTCTTAGTAATAAAGCTTTCCAGTAACTGTGTTGTTTGAGTTTGGATTGGTTCGTGATCTGGGTCGGACTTTCACCGGACCCAAATTCTGAAAGCTATCTGAATCATTGTGCATCTATTTGGCTGTTTTGAGATGATGTGTTCTGTAGGACAACACCTTCATGTTTGTGGTGGCCAATGAGATTGATCAGCTCGACAAGGAAGGCTTCGCAGCTTACCCCTGTGTCAAAGCCCTGACGCGCGACATCCACCGTTACCAACGGGAGAAGGGCTACAGAAAGGTTCCTTTGATCTACTCCAACAAAGACCAGGGTGGCAGTGCACGCCTCGACATTGCAAAATACCTGACCTGTGAGCTTGAGAGCCCAGATGATGTGGTGGACGCGTTTGGGCTCAATGTGTACTCTTGGTGCGACCCTGACTACAAGAGCCCAGATGGAACTGTTGACTTCAAATACTCGCCCTATGAGAATGTGGTGAAGGAATTCCGTTCTTTGCCGAAGCCCTTCCTGTTCACCGAGTTTGGATGCAACACTGGGGCCTTTGAAACAGAATGCCCCGACTACAAGGGTGGTCGCACTTGGGTGCAAGTGGCAGCCATGTTTGACCATATGGGGGATTTCTTGAATGGTGCTGTGGCTTTTGAGTTTTCCATGGAGAACAATCAATATGGCCTAGTGATTACGCCTGGCTTCCTGCAGGGGCAGAACCAGTTGGTGATTACAGACAACTACTACTCTCTGCAGAAAGAGTTTACCACCCATGATGTGAGCCAGGGATCAGCAAGACATCTACCTTTACCTCAGTGCATTTCCAAAGCCACTGCAGATCAGCTTCAATACAAGGAGCGTGTGCATCAGGTCTCTGATTGGACCAAGCTGCCGCCAACACCTGTAATGCCGGAAGACAACACATTGCTCCCCTGAGAGCACTCGTGGCGTTGCCATCAAAGAAACCCTCACTCTTGTAGCAGTATTCGTAGCATTGCAATGAATTTGTGAATTTTTGACTATGGCCATACATTAACAACATGGTGTATCGGCCTGCCTGATAGGCCTTCGACAAGTGCCACAAATGCTAAACACCTGTTGGAATGATCATCGAAGGGCTATGAACCTGTGGGTGGGCCTGCGCGAGGGGCTGGGCACGCTGACAGGTCAGTCTTTTGGCATTGACAGAAGTTCAATGTGTCTCACACGGAAACCCGCTCTAGCCTTGAACTAGCCAAGAGTACTATACAGATGCAGTCCCAAAGATAAGCTTGGAAGCTTCAGTTGTTTCACCTGTTCGTGCTCTTTTGGACAGATGAATGGGACTGCATCAAAATCCACGTTTTCCATTAGTCTAGTTCAGGCATCCGAATGGGAGCTACCTGCGCTCGGCCATGATCGCCTGGTCATCAATGGAAAATGCTGCACAATCGGAGTTACTATGACTTTAAATTGACTCACATAGCAGACATAGCTACTAGTAACTGTAAACAAGCAAGGCATACACGCCTTTTCACAAGACAGCGAACGCTTGTGCCATTAAAGCGGCGGCCGGCAGGGTCAACTGAATGACATGTTCACACTCGTCTTCTATACTATTGACCCTGCCGGCTTCAAAGCCTTCAGCCGACCCCACCACTCCTTAGTCTTTGGAATGACCTTAGTCAGATTGTCTGACAACTGTGCGGAAGTGGGCAGCCAGCGCAGAGCCTTACGGAAGATGGTTTTGTGTTCGAGCTGCCAGGTGGATTCCTCTTCCTGAATGATCTGGCGGATGGCAGCAAGATCAACCACCAACCGTCTCTCTGAAGGTGCTCTTGGCCCTCCAATTCGGTGGACCGAATCATAGAGCGACTTAAAACAGCCTAGAAGAACATCTCTAAAAGCTATGGCGGACCTCCAACCCTCAAGTGCGGCCATGGTCTCGGCTGCGAAGGTGCTTCGGCAAACTCGGGTGCATGCATGAGACTTCCAACATGCCACCAGTCCTTCGCCGGTCTCGCCCTCGAGGATGTTCTTGTGGGCAATCAGTGTGATATGCCCAAGCTGGGAGTAGATGCCAGTGTCCTTCTGGTCCGCGTCGTCCAGGTTCTCCTCATACTCAGGGATGTTGGCCCAAGCTGCGTCATGGTAGACCAGGAGGATCAGGTCGGAGAGATCCCCAAGTTTAGAGTAGGTCATCTTTTCATCCTTGGCCTGCTGTGCCACTCGAACCACCTGGTTGGTTACCTTGATGTAGGTCGGACTCTTTTGTCTCCTTTGGGCCATCGAGACACCAGCTTGGAGGTCGGGCCTCGTCTGAGAGGCAAGCCAAGAAAGTGCCCTGACTATGGATTGGTTGTCCAGTATTGAAACCTCATCTGCTTTTCCTTCCATGTCAACCCCCTTGGGAATGTCCACGGTGTGTAGCATGGTGTTCACATAGTGCTCTTGGCTCAAGGAGATCTCGTTGCTAGACTGTTTGATGGACACTCCACAATACTCTAATCCATCGCTTGCATCCTCCCATCTGTTGATAGGAAGAGTGCCGGATATGGCCTCTCCATTTTGTGTCGGATGTCAGGCTGGGCGGAAATGATGATGTTGTCCGCATGGAAGGCCAGTAGTCCACGTACCTCCTTCTCTTCGCTGAAGAGGAGGAACAGACAACTGTCCAGATGATGTTGTTCCAGGTTCAAGACCGTGCCCTTATACCCAATCTTGATCTTCTTTAAAGTTCCGACCGACTTGTCCCACCATAGTCTTGGCGAGGTCGAGGGTGATGGCTCCACGCAGAGACCGCTTCGGCATCCAACCTCATTGAGGGAGGCAACCTCGATGTCCCCTGCAGCCAATGATCAACCCTGCTGCGCCGTGAGGAAGACCAAGCATGTAATGGACATTTTGGTGGCGACTGGTACCTCAGTGTTTGGCTTCAGTACTGTCCGTTGCTTTCCATCACTTGAGGCCATGTAACAAAGCAACTCATCATCGTCAGGGACCGGGACATTGGAGGGAGCCATAGGAACGTCCTCCTTTTGTTTCGTCCTCTTGACTGGGACTAGCTTTTGTTCTGTCTCCCGTTTGTTTGCCCTTGTTCTTTCTCCTTCTTCATCTCCTGGAAGCTCGTCGCCGGGTTCAGTAGGAGTATAGTCCATCTCGGAATGTTCAGGTAGATGGCGTTCGAGGTCCCCAGTGGCGTCGGCAAAGACCTCAGGATCATCTACCTCCATCCCCTCGATCAATTGCATTAGGTCCCTCTTGACGGCACGGGCTTGTAGGGCAGCTCCAAGTTCTTCAGATTCCGCCAACCTAAGGTGTTCTCGAGCACATAGAAGGCAGCGTCCCCCTCTGGAGACCCAGAAGTTCTTCCCTTCCTGGCCCACTACAATCCCAGGTCCAATCCATTCTCCAACATTTTGCTTCTTGCGAGCGGCTCCACCAGCCTTCTTCGAGGAGCGGTAGATGTACACATATTGTCCTTGTTGGAAATCACCATGAAGAACCCGGGGGCGACCATGTAGTGCTCGTTGGAGATGCTCAGTTGCTTGTAGTTGTACATAGGCTTCTCGGGCTGCTTGTCTTATGTTTGCTCTTCTTTGCCACTCCTCAGATGGCTCGATGAGATCTTGACGTTCTGCAGCGTCGTCATCCCCATCAATCAAACCAATGCCGAGTTTGGGAGCTACCCCAAAAAGCCACTGAGCTGGTGAGTATCCATGTCTTCTCCTTAGGTAGTTCTTGGCTTCCCCGACGGCAGCGGGGACCCAATTGGTCTCGTGACCTTTCATGGAGATGTGCTTTTTCACCCGGTCGAACATCTGGCGGAACCATTCATTTTGTTGTCCAACATGCCCATTTTGCCAGTGTGCTTGTCCGGCCGTATACTGGATGTTGATGCCGTGTTTCTCCAATTCTGCTGGGAAGTCTTTCATCAGCCCCCGTTCTTGATCGACTAGTACGGTGGTTGGTGTTCGTGGTTGGTGTTCCGGCCCAAGCCATCCATGCTCGTAGAAAGCCCCTTGCATAGTCCCCTCCAGTTTTCCCAGTCACGGGGTACACAAGGTGGAACCCTGATCCCACATCCAGCATGGATAGGACCGTGATCTCGGCCCCTTCGCAAGTGTGTAGGTCCATGGTGTCCACGGCAACCTCCTCGTTGAAGTCAAGCGGTTTCACCACCTTAGTAGGCCTTCGTCCCCCCGTTGAGGTGGACCGACAGCAGGTTTGACACTGTAGTTGCTGGCAAGCCTTCACCACTTGTGAGTCAGCTCCTGCAAGACGAAGGTGCCGTGCCAGGTCCTCGTTCGATGAGTGTCCCATATTCTGGTGGACTCTCCTCAGGGCACTTGCTATGTTCTTCGGGACGTGGCTGGGAAACGAGATGGCTGAGGCCCCTTCGTCAATCTTGACGACGGTGAGGTCTTCACTTGGTCCTCGCAGTGGCCCCTCGCCTCTGTGGCCAGGTAGAAGACAGCTCTACCGCAAAAGCGTCCAGGATAGTTCACCTCCTTTTTCTCATAGCCAAATGGCTTCTCACAACCGCTCTTGAGAACTGTGGAGTGTACTGTCCCGCTGGTTTGGTGTTCTGTCCTGCTGTGGCTCCATGTTCATGTGCGCAAATGCAGGATCTAGCCAGCCCCTGTGCGTAGGCCTCGTCGGTGATGTAGACAGTCGTTGGCTTCTTGAGCAGTTCACCATCAGTGACTGCCCTGAGGTCGTAACAGCACATGTCCAGCTTCACCTCATGGAATAAAGGGTCTTGCAAGAGATCTGCGATGGAGGGGTCCTTCCACATAGCCGAATTTCTTGGATGTTCGAATCCCACATGGCGACCTTGTTCGATCTGTCTCAGGGCCACCTTGACGGCGAAGCGGATCAGTCTTCGTTGACGAGCTCGTAGTCGACGAAGTAGTTGTGGCCTGTCCTTGTAGTTGATATTCGTCCATGGACCCCAAACTGTACAGGGAAGTGCAATCCAAACCAACTCGGGCTTAAAGTGGTCCACTTCCTCCAGTATCTTCTCTTGTTGTTCAGGTTGGAAAAGGTCGCGCCCAAAACGAAGGTCTCGTGGTTCAAGGACATTCAGTTTGGCCTTGGCATACTCAAGAGTCAATTGAGCGTGTCCACAGAAGAGCTCCAGGAGAGCAACCGGTTCTCCTTCTTCACCCCGTAGAGACGTTGGCCAAATGTTTTGTTCAGCCCATGACTTCACTGGGTCGGTAGTCCTGTCGATCGACTCCAAGGCCGTGGCCGAGAAGGCCAGCAGTGTTGTCATGAGACAACCTAAGGTTTGCCTCGCCCAACCACGGACCCTCTTTCTGGCGACCCGCTTCATCTTGTGGCTGGGCAATCTTTTGACCTGCTCATAGTCATCCGGGTAGTGGAGGTTCACCTTGGGCACCAAGTCCACGGTCTCGTTCAAGTCCTGAATGTCTTCGGACGAGACCTCATAGTTCTTCTTTTCCCCAAATAGGTTGAAGATGCCGTAGGCAGTGTCCCTTCCATTGTGTGTTTCTTGGGTTGATTTCTCAGTCACCCCTGAGTTCATAGTTCCCCCACAACCCGTTCGGGCCTTCTTGGCCTTGATGGCCTCATTCACTGCTGTCCAGTAGGCTTTTGACTTGACGCGGCGAGCTGTCCTCGATCTTGGAGAAGTCCTCGTCCTCGGATGAGCTCAATGTCCTTGTCTTCTTGCACGGGGCTGTCTTGCTCTTCGTCTTTGGATAGCGACTGCTTGTGCCCGTCTTCAGGGCTTGCCCCCCTTGGGTAGCCGATTTGGGAGGTAGTTCCGCAGGGGGAGGTGCATTCAACGCAGTCGATTCCGGGTCCTTGTAGCCCTGCGACTTGCATTTCGAGGTGGCCTCGGTCTTCTGGGACTTGTTCTCCTTGGCCCAACGTGCCAGCCGGATCAGGTCCGGGGAGCTGTTGTCGCTCGTGGCTATCTCCGTGATTGCCCAATCCAAGCAGCTTGAGGGCACCTCGCCAAAGCGGTATCCCTTGTACCGGCCAAACGGCACCAGCTCCTCCGAAGTGGCTGGGACGCTGTCCCGGATCAGCCGCGTCAGCAATTCCGCGAGTGGGCTTTGTGGGTATCTCTATCCCCGCTTCGCGGGCCTTGGCCAGCAGCTGGTCGAGCTTCATGCTGGAGAGCCCCTTGAGTTCGTTGTGGTTCGGTTCCTCCTTCTGTTCGGAGATGATGGAGCGAAGTTCCAGAACGGTCCACTCCTTGCGAACAGGGATGCCCATCTGACCGAGTGTCTCCACCAGCTCTGCCTTGTTCATCTTCCATGGCGAGATGGTCGGGGTCGAGGACATTCGAACGGAGGCTGGGCTCGATGCCTGCGACTTGAATCGTCTTGGAAAACGGCTTCGTCCGACCCACAAAAATCTCCACGCTCCGGGAACATTGTCGCTCCACTGAAACCGGTGACTGAGAGGCAATGCATTTGTTGTGCAAGGCATGGCAATAGTTTCACAATCTTCCTCTAATTGTTCCAGCAGTTTGGTTTTCAGGGTCTGGTTCGCTGTAGTCCATGTCCGAGGATCAAAGGATGTTCTTCGGGGTGTGACGTGGATGCGGTACATGTACTCCGGGGTCTCGATCCAAAAGTCCCTATAGTGATCCTTTGATCTCCACCAGTTCAAAAATGCTTCATGGTGCAACGGCTCAGCGGTCAACATGTCATGCACAGCTTTCGTCAACTTCTTCGGATAAAACAAATGCGACTGCGGCTGCGGGCTCACCATGTATACCTCTTGCAACTGAGGTACAAAGATCTCAGTGAGACTCCAGTCAACCCGCTCCGGCCACGTAAGCAGATCTGGCTTGGTGCCAGTCACAGAAACTTGTGGGTGGCCGGAGGAACTCATAATCAGCGACACCTGGCTGACGCCAAGTGAGGCGAAATCAGCAAGGCCCTTGGCGATGTTGTAGTTCATACCTAACTCGGCCAATGCCACTCTGCTCAGGAGCAAGGGAACATCAGCGCTGACCACGCTGATCTTAGTCAGGAACCATTTGTTCTTGATGGAGAGCCATGTCACCACTGCCATCTTGGAGGGATAGAGTTTCTTTCCCCCAAACTTGAAGATCTCCTCTTGGGGGAGTACGAAGAAGGGGATGTGCTCGGCCTTCAAGTGACGAAGGAAGGAGGTCATCCATGTTTTGCCAGCCAAGGTCCTGCTGCACGCACAGTGTGTGATGGCCAAGAAACCTTGACCCCCTTCTCCACCCTTCTCCTCGTCCGTAAAATAGACCACGTAGGGATCCCGTCCATGAAGCTCCCCAAACCCCGCAAACTCGTTCCCTTCATAGTTCACGTTGTAGTCTTCCCCAGTGTCCACGATTCCCAAGTCGACCTCGTTCTCGTCGGAGTCCATGATATAGTTATATCCCAAACATCCTTACCATCGGGGAAGTCAATCAAGTAGTCGCTGTCATCAACCGAGGTGGCCACGTAGACCACATGAGTGGTGTGTGCGGTCTGTCCAGCTTTTCCTTTGTTAGCCGGACACTCTGGATCCTTGTGCCAGTGACCCTTCTTGTGACAAACCGAGCAGTAGCTTCGCGCCTTAGCTGATTTGAGACGATCTTCTTTGGACTGGGAGAAGCCCCGATCCTTCATGATGGCACGATACTTGCTCTTGGCGTTTTGGAAAGCCACATAGGCCTGTCCTCATCGTCCGTCATGGTGTCCTCGGAGTCGTGGATCTCCTCGTGGTTCTCATCGATGGAGGTCATCAGAGCTTGGTGTTTCTTTTTGTCGTCGGTTCTCCTGTCCTCGGAGCGTCGGTCCCCGTCGGGTCTCCTTTCCCACATTCTCCGGTTCATACGATCTTGTATGATCGCAGCGTCTTGAAGCTTTTTCAGGGTGTAGGAGTTGCCGACAGACGACAACAAGTTCAACTCCGACGTATTGTCCATGCGCATCTTGTCGACATACCACCAGGCGAGGCAGGCGTCCGGGAGCGCGCGTCCAACTTCTTTCAACCTGCTGACCTGCCGGTCGAACTCCTGGTTAAAGTCCCGGATGTCCTGCTGGGTGTTCCGCTTGAGGACCTTGAAGAAGTCGGACATGTAGCGGCCTATCTTTGTCACCTCGCGGTCCATGTAGCGGGACTTGATCCAATCGACAAACACCTCAACCCCTTGTTCGGAGTCGAGCAATCCAAGCTCAAGTTCTTCTGCATCACGCCAAGCTCGGCCTGTGAGGTTGTTGTAGAGCATCAGGGCTTGTTTGGGGCGCGTCAACCTGGTCACGCGCCTCCAGGCCTCGATCTTTCGGATGTAGCCCTTGGCCTTCAATCCATCCCTATCATCTTCACCATTGTACTCGGGAACCTGGATCTTATCTTGTCCACCAGCTCCACCTCGACGGTCTTCATGTCCTTGCCATGGATCTCCCTGGTTTCCCCACCAAGGATCACAACCAATCCCTTGAGGTGCCGTAGGTGCCGCCGAGGCTGTAGGTCCCAATGGAGATGCTGCCCTTGCACCATCCCCGGATCCAACCCCAGATCTCCCGATGGCGTGGACCAGGCGTAGTAGGCTCCTGCTCACTCCAACCACCCCATGACCTTTCCGTCGGAGTTCCCGGCCTCATCTCCTCAGGACCAGCTGGAAATGCACCTTCATCATCCAGGTCGGCCTCCTGAACGCTGTCCTCCTCCCCAGGCGTAGGCATGCCCACACAGTAGCGACCCCTGCCACGATCACCGTGATCTCAACAACCACCTCTAACAACCCTAGAAGTCCCACGCACGGCGAAAGGAATATGGCTCAACGCTACCAATGTAAACAAGCAAGGCATACACGCCTTTTCACAAGACAGCGAACGCTTGTGCCTTTAAAGCGGCGGCCGGCAGGGTCAACTGAGTGACATGTTCACAGTAACAAGAAGCTAGTAGAATCAAGTGCCACGCTACTAGTAACAAGTGCCTTACTACTAGTAACAAGAAGCTAGGGACCGGACTCTTCCTACACATCAGTATGGGCAAGTCAAACCATACAGCACACTGCATTACAGTACAGCACACTTTATTACATGATGTACATTCAATACATTACATGACATTTCATTACATTACCATAGTGTACCCCACTGGAACTGGAAGTGGAACTGGAACTCCCTCCCCGGATAAAAAATAATCATCCACGCTAAACTGACGTTGGCAATCACGTCCAGACTCGGACCCAGAGTTGGAACTGGAACTCCCCCCCCCGGATTAAAACATCATCCACGCTAAACTGACGTTGGCAATCACGTCCAGGCTCGGACCCAGAGTTGGAACTGGAAGTGGAACTGGAACTGGAACTCCCCCCCCTGGGAAAAACACACACACACACATCCACGCTAAACTGACGTTGGCAATCACGTCCAGACCCGGGCCCACAATTGGAACTGGAAGTGGAACTCGAACTGGAACTGGAACTCCCCTCCCCCCGCGAAAAAACAACAAAAAACGACATTTAAGTGGCAATCACTTCCAGACTCGGACTCAGAACTGGAAGTGCAATTGGAATTGGAACTCGAACTGGAACTGGAAGTGGAACTCCCCCCCTCCAGAAAAAATGCAAGATTAAATTGACATTTGCAATCACTTCCAGACTCGGACCCAGAACTGGAAGTGGAACTGGAAC